TATCCAATGTGGAGAAAATATTGGAAAATTTTAAGAAAGAAAGAAAATCAAGAAATTAAAGAAAAACTAGAATGGGAAAGGAAGTTCTTACACAGATTAATGATAAAATTTATGAAAATTTTGGAAACAATTTCTCAAGAAGGTAAAATAACAAAATTTACAATGTATACAGAGACAAGTGATAGTAGTTGTTTATTTTACATCTACAATACGTATTAAGAGGGACATTCTTTTTATTTGGTGAAAAATATTGATCTTGTTTTGTATTTTTTTAACATTTGATGATTGTAACCAACAAATGTAAAACTTTGCATAGTTTTTATTATACTTTCATTAAGTTATATAGATTTTTTTTCAGTTTGGTTTGCTTATAAATACAGTTTCTGTCTCTTATACACATCTAGATGTGTATAAGAGACAGATTCTATTATTTTTGTCTACTTTTTGCATTGTGGAGTTACTGTCTCTTATACACATCTAGATGTGTATAAGAGACAGGAATTTAAAAAATATCCAATGTGGAGAAAATATTGGAAAATTTTAAGAAAGAAAGATAATCCAGAAATTAAAGAAAAACTAGAATGGGAAAGGAAGTTCTTACACCTGTCTCTTATACACATCTAGATGTGTATAAGAGACAGGAATTTAAAAAATATCCAATGTGGAGAAAATATTGGAAAATTTTAAGAAAGAAAGATAATCCAGAAATTAAAGAAAAACTAGAATGGGAAAGGAAGTTCTTACACCTGTCTCTTATACACATCTAGATGTGTATAAGAGACAGGAATTTAAAAAATATCCAATGTGGAGAAAATATTGGAAAATTTTAAGAAAGAAAGATAATCCAGAAATTAAAGAAAAACTAGAATGGGAAAGGAAGTTCTTACACCTGTCTCTTATACACATCTAGATGTGTATAAGAGACAGGAATTTAAAAAATATCCAATGTGGAGAAAATATTGGAAAATTTTAAGAAAGAAAGATAATCCAGAAATTAAAGAAAAACTAGAATGGGAAAGGAAGTTCTTACACCTGTCTCTTATACACATCTAGATGTGTATAAGAGACAGGAATTTAAAAAATATCCAATGTGGAGAAAATATTGGAAAATTTTAAGAAAGAAAGATAATCCAGAAATTAAAGAAAAACTAGAATGGGAAAGGAAGTTCTTACACCTGTCTCTTATACACATCTAGATGTGTATAAGAGACAGGAATTTAAAAAATATCCAATGTGGAGAAAATATTGGAAAATTTTAAGAAAGAAAGATAATCCAGAAATTAAAGAAAAACTAGAATGGGAAAGGAAGTTCTTACACCTGTCTCTTATACACATCTAGATGTGTATAAGAGACAGGAATTTAAAAAATATCCAATGTGGAGAAAATATTGGAAAATTTTAAGAAAGAAAGATAATCCAGAAATTAAAGAAAAACTAGAATGGGAAAGGAAGTTCTTACACCTGTCTCTTATACACATCTAGATGTGTATAAGAGACAGGAATTTAAAAAATATCCAATGTGGAGAAAATATTGGAAAATTTTAAGAAAGAAAGATAATCCAGAAATTAAAGAAAAACTAGAATGGGAAAGGAAGTTCTTACACCTGTCTCTTATACACATCTAGATGTGTATAAGAGACAGGAATTTAAAAAATATCCAATGTGGAGAAAATATTGGAAAATTTTAAGAAAGAAAGATAATCCAGAAATTAAAGAAAAACTAGAATGGGAAAGGAAGTTCTTACACCTGTCTCTTATACACATCTAGATGTGTATAAGAGACAGGAATTTAAAAAATATCCAATGTGGAGAAAATATTGGAAAATTTTAAGAAAGAAAGATAATCCAGAAATTAAAGAAAAACTAGAATGGGAAAGGAAGTTCTTACACCTGTCTCTTATACACATCTAGATGTGTATAAGAGACAGCTGTTCACAGACTAAATCAGTAAACTTTACCTTTTCGAATTTTAGTGTCAGAGTACTTGATTGACTCATAGTTTTTCATATTTAAAATAAAGTTGTTTGGGGTAATAAACAATTTATTATTATATATGTCATTAGCTTAAATATATGATTATAGTAGTATACACTATGCCTATCCACTTTTAAGGGAATTTTAGGAAGCAATGTATACTATTCTATTATTTTTGTCTACTTTTTGCATTGTGGAGTTAACCAACATATTTTTTAACAGGACCACTTTTATCAGATAAGGTACGGTACTGTGAAAGATTCCTTGAGCTAGTAATAGATTTGGAAGCTCTATTACCAACCAGGCGTTTCTTCAATACTGTAATGGATGATTGCCACTTAGTAGTGAGATGTCAGTTATCTAAATTATTGGATCGTCCTGAAGGAGGATTATTTGGGCAGGTAAGCTATAGAAACTTTTTCTAATACAAAAAGAATAAAAAAAATGTAAATGACTGAAAGATATATTTTATAAGAGTATATTGAGATGATACAGCTTCTGTACAAAAATTTCATGTCTATACAAATATAAATACTAGGTGAATATCTTAAAACTAAAAAAATGATTTAAATGATAACACTATCACTATAAGATAATAGATGAGATGATAGTATTTATAAAATGTTAGGCGCGTGTGTATTTTGTAGTATGAATTTATTAAGAATATTTCTAATAAGTGCACAATTCCATAAGGCAAAAGCAATATTTTTTTAAGGCACATACCATTATAAACATTTGCGTTTCAAAACAATTGAAAAGAAAACTATTTTTTTATGCTGTTGAGGTAAATATTATATACAATATTTTAATCTGTTCTGTTGCCATTTACATTAGAACAACATTGTCACTTCAATAGGTGATTTGGTCATTAAGGTCACATTGTGTATGTAATACTGTTAACATGATCTTATGTGTTTTGTTCTATATTCATATGAATTTCCAAGTTCAAACGAGTTTAACTCGATTTACACAGTGTAACTTACAAAAAGTAAAATATTGAATATATCTTGTAGATTTAAAAGTATATGGTATTCTATATTTTTATAATTTACTCTGTGTACTTTAGAAGATGAACACGCTTGGTTTTAATTAGAGTTGGGCATTAATAATTAAAATGTTTAATTGATATGTTAAAAACGAATTTACCGTAAAAAGTTTTGGTAAAATATTTTAATTGTAATCATTAATCCTTAGTTGCATTATATATAGCCCATCTCTAGCTTAGTTAAACCTTTCTCTCGCTTTAAGTATCTAAAGTACGAAGAAAAATTAAACAGGTTTCAATATCCCGCGTTAATGGCAGTCATCTCTTCTCCCCAATCGAGACCGTCAATATTTTCTGCCGAGTTGCAACAATTGCATGTTTTACCTAATAAAAATGTAACTCTTTTTTGTCCAAAAACACAAACGTATAATATTAAAATTGCTTGAAGCAAATTTATGACGATATGACAATATACAAGTACATCGTAATTGAGTCGCGACAGTAATAATGACAGCCATCCGGTGCTCATCAAGACAAATAGAAAAACGAACATTCGGAAACTGTATTTCATTTTATGATGAATTCGGCCGTATGTAATCATTCGTTTGATTCTGTTTGCGGTAGTTAGCACAAAGCTTAGATCAACCAGTATCGTAAGAGCGATGGATGTGAATAATACAGAAACACCGAGCCATCCAATTGTTTCTTGAGGTGGATAAATAGCCCCTCCAATGACGGGTTTGCTGGTTTCTAGTGCGAAATGCGCAAAGATCGCAGTACCTGCGATACAAACCGTCGATCCCCACACGTATGACGAATAGTAACAATATTTTCTGCCATCAGTGACCCGCAAGAATACATTCCGTGAACGAAAAGTACTCCACACATAATAACCCAAGGCATTGAGCCAGAAAAATGCAGCTAGTAGGGAGACATACATTACAGTATCTGAAAACAAACATAAACAATGGAAGCATGATATCATTCATGATATATGCAGAATGTTTAACTGCGTGTAGTAAATGTTTAATTAACGATTAACATGTTTAGCATGAGCTTCACATGCAGTAACTTACAAAAGTATTTGAGTACTTTTTGAAATATGTACAATAATTTTTGGAAACATTGTAATTACGTTTCTATATTTTCATATCTGAGCCTTTAATGAAAATTTAAACAATGCGTGTTGTAGATCTCATTAACTTTCATATTTTATAAGAGGGTACGTTGCATTTAATAAAATGTTATAACGAAGCAAACGCTATTAAAGAATGGTTAAAAAATCTCTGTTCCGCCGATAATACACATTCGTATCGAGTCTATACGAGCGTAGGCATACGCTGTTACTTTGAAAACAATGCCAGAAATTTGGCTTCTAGAAGCATCGTCAATAATATTTACTATACGAAGAAGACAAACATCTTGCATGTAAATATATGTTCATATTTTTGAATGTGATTTTATGACTCATACCGGCGACCATAAAACTAATGTGATTGCCGAATTCCGTAAATATTCGTACGGTGGAAGCGCATTGGCCAGCTATAAGGCATAGAGTCATACTGGTTATCATGTTTCCCACAAGATCACGCAACTGCGGCAAAACAAAGTAGACGACCGCGACAACTAGGTAACTGGCTATCGATATCGCGTGGAAAGCGGGATCGATAGCATGCCTCATCAAATAATTCGTGTCGGTCCATCCAACGACTATATCAGGTACGCAGATCATCGCGTACGTAGCTAGACGATCTTTGCTCCATATGGCTTTGTCGGCGCAGTAGTGTCCAAATGGATAATCATAATGAATGGAAACAGTATCAAATTCATCCTCGTCTGTTATTCCTACAGGTCTAAATCCATAAACACCGCCGTTCTCGTACGATTCTTTGGTTGAATCGGTAGTGTAGTGTCGTAGCACACCGGTAGTCAGTATAGCTAATCGATCTTCACCCGATCGATGATCATATACATCCCATTGGCGTTCGTTCGATTGACACTTTGGTCGACCAATTTTTAATTCATAATTAGGCTCTACCGGTCTATTTCGTGAAATACCGTTCACCTTTTCTTCGATAAATTCTGGTTGCCACTGTGTTTCGTTTGTCTTCGATAATGGCGTGCACGTGTCGTCGACGAGCAGTTCATCAGGCTCGCAACACTTTGCGACGCTGATTAAATTTGTTGTACTGTCGGTGTAGGCGAACACTGCACGCGGATCATTTGTCCCGAGTGAACCGATCACGACCACGAGTACCACGCTCACGAGACAATACATGTCATCGAATCAGCACCTTTCGTGTTTCTATCACATGTTCCGCGCATTGGTCACGCGTTTTTCCTTGTGATCGCGTCTTTTTAGCGTTGTCCTGATCGATCCCGTGGCGATCACAGCTACCTCGAGGGCGTTAGATTCACTCGTTCATTGTGACGCGACGATGGACTTCCCGTGTGTGTTTCATCGCCATACCTGCTAATGCTGCTGGCGGGTTGTCCGCTTAGTAAGACCTACCCCTGCCTATACCCGACCGCCATCGCATCCCATTCTCTGTTGTATTGTTTTTTTTTCTTTCTCTCTTTCTCCGTTTCTCGTTCATGTTCATTGGCTGACGTAGTCCATCTCTGTCCCTCTACCTACTACTCCCTCTATAGTCAGTCTCATCTCTTCCCCTACCACTCGATTCCCCATTGCGCATCCTCACCTTTTTCATTTACGTTTACTTCGCGCGAATCTTTGTTGCTCTTCTATTGGTTAACGTAAGTACGGTCTCGGTTCGTCGCAAGCCACTTTAGTTCTATTCTACTACGATCGGTATAGGTTAGATGCACTCGAAACATTTGTACAGTTGTAAATTTGATTCGACAGAAATTCTCTATGAAAGAAGCATCGTACATGAATGAAGTTATTTTAGCACTTAATCGAAGGAAGTGGATAAGTATCGTGTGATTTGAAATTGGATAATTCAAATGAAAAGACAGGGTAACGTCTATCATGTTTGCTTGAAAAGAACGTAACGCTTCGTAGGACAATCTTATTCTATTTGAGATCGGTTAGTTTTATCCTCGCTAATTACATTGCAAGTAAGAATTGTTCATTCGTTTGTAGATAGCAAATCAATTTCATATGAATTCAAACCATCATGAAATTTTTTGTGGAAGTAATGATGTAGATAAATATGTTTATCTCTATTCGAATTTGCATTTTATGTTGCATACATACGTTTCTTAATAACGATTGCGATAATGTACTTATTTTATTTAGAATTTAGTTGAAATTGAAAAGTCTGTGTTTCAATTATATAGTTGGAATGTCTATTTAACATTTAGAAAACTATTCCTAGGTAACACTAAGGTTATGAATATAAACTTGACATAAATTGTATATATGAATGAAAATATATAATTGAAAAATGCTAAATTCCGATTATGTCTATACACTGTAAAATCGGTCATAGTGTATTAACAATATTGAAATAACCCTTGATGATTTATATCACTCGAATTATAAGTCTGCAAACTGTAACCGGTAAGAATTGAACAATCGTTATATGTATACACGTACGTATGTATAATGGATATTACGGGTTTAAGCGACTGATTCATTACTGATTTATCATTTACATATCATTATATCGCAATTCCTTCGCACACGTATTACGTAAACAGTTCGTCCTTGAACTGACACTATATTTTATTTCATCCTTCCTCGTCGTTTCGATTAGTCCTATTAACACATTGATGATCGGTCACGAATTAACTCGTGTTCTTATGCCCAGACGTTGCAAAATTCCCGGTCAGCAATGTGTTAAGGATACAACAAATTTTGAAGATATCACAGAAAAATAGCACTAATAAATAACGGACCCTACTTAAGATACAAATTACTTTGGATGTAGTCATCGATTAATCAGAATATATGAGAAAAAGGGATAATTTCGATATGTCGTCATTCTGACGTGCTTTAAAATAATTTTTTTCTAATAAAGCGGTGCTACTATTGTATTGAAAATGAGAAGAATAGAGAAATGTTTCTGCTTTCACACACAAATTCACATTTGCAGCAATCTTAAAGACATCATCAACAAAAAATAGTTTTGTAACATTTTTTTTTAAATAATAATATTTTTTAAAAATAGATATGAAGTAAGTTTCTCATTTTGTTAAATCATAAATTTATGCTTTTTAGGCTATACTAATACAAACTATATACTTGTCAATTAATGTCAATTAATATAAAAAAGACTAACAAATACGTAATTTGTTCAAATTCTTAGCATTTTTGATTTATATTGCCGGAATTACTCATCATCGATACTTTTATTTACGTTTTATTATTACATATATTATTTACAAATTCGTTTGCACAAACTATTTTCACAGAATTTAAGCAATGTATAATATTAAAATAAATATTTAACGTCTTCCACTGGAAATTTATCGACAGATAAATACGACGAACTTCAAAACAAAATTAATTTCGTTTATCACCTAAATTTTTGTTATCTTCTACGAAATTAACGCGTCATTTTCGCGAACATCATTCAATTCATTTGGAAAATTTAGTTTGAGGCAAAATTTAACTAATCGCGTGGTAGAGCAGATCTATCTCTTTCGAAAATCAACGACTTTCATTTTTGATTGGCTAAATCAAATATCGATGAAGAACGAAAATTTGAAATATTTATATGCATAATTGTTTGATTGTATTTTCTAAAATAACGTTGGCCATCTTTAAATTTTGGATCGCAGTTGCAGGCGAGTTGTTGCTACGTGGAAAGTTTCACATGGCAACGCGCTCGCGTTAGAGAAATATCGATCACCGACGGATTGCTGATGCACAAAGCGTTCCATCGTTGGCCTACGACAATAAGCGTATCTCATCGTCGTGTGACTGTCGCAAACTACTGTCGGGCAACGCGTTTACCGAGACATGGGTTTGGCGGCTATTAAACACGTTACTTCCCTCGCAGTGGTCTCGTTAATCTCGCCTTCGTTAAGCTACTTGATTACTTGCGCGCATTGCTCAGTTTAATCACCGTAACGCTGACTACACGAACCAGAGCCGCTGTTTCTCATTAGTGAGCTGTGGACTTCACGCGTTCACGGTTGAAATATTAAAAAACTCGCAGATTTCCAGATTCAGCTCGGTGCATCTAGCCCTAAAATCCTTACGGGTAGTTTCGCCGAACAAATGTTTGTATACCTTAACGCTTTATTGTATTGGTAACCAATGTGCACGAGAGTCTACTGCTAAGCTCTGGGTAATTTCACATTGATTCGCATTCACAGCTTAAGCATATACAACGAAAATTTTAGGTATCAAGGCACATATGTAATTCTAGGTTTAATACAGTTTCCTTGAAAATTTAATTCGGAATGGATATTTATTTGCGAATAATTGCAATATGGTTACAAAATTACCACGTTCATTTAATTTGTGTTCGATGCTGAAATAATCCTGTTGCGAAAATTATTTCTAAATTAATAATTAACAAAATTGTGAATTATTGTTGTTCTTACAGAGAAAACTTAATTTTTGTCCTACATATCGATAGATTAAATTAGATAGTTTGGCATTACGTCTATATAAGTATGTATAAACTTAAATATCAATTAATGGTGTACATTTCTTAACGCGAGTTGAAATCTGAATTTCAGGTCAACTGTTTCGTAAGAAACTGTGGCTTGGAAACACTGCAATAATTAACTAGGTTTTGATCTTAGTCGGTAACAGAACATACCTACATTTCAGCTTATTATGTATAAATAACTAGCGTTATTTAACTTGTCGTTGACATATTTTCTTTTATAAAAACTTGATTAAATGAACTATCTCCAGTGAATGTACAAACACAAGCACTTCTGGCCGAGATTAAAAAGATCCATTACGCTCCATTTTTTCACGAGTGTTGAAAATTTTTAAAGCAAGTTTCAGAAACGCCGAGAATCATTGCCAAAAGACAATGGCCAGCGATCTTGTTAAAACGGGAATAAGTATTCGTTCCCAGTGCAGAGTTGCATGTCGAGAAACTGCAGTTTCGTCGCCGGTCGCATTTTTATGGCGAAAAGACGTCAATCGCTACGACAGATTGACGTCGCGTCATTCGACTAGAATGAAAGTTCACGTAGTTCACGTACGTGTCTTCCTGGGGAAGACAACGATTCACGCGGATTCATCGCGATGAGTCGATCGAATACGCGACGCATCGAAACACGAGAACGATTTGAACGGCAAATCCTTTCTAGCTAATACGCAATTCGGTGGAATCGATCGCTCGATCGATCATTGGTAAACGACGTGTCACCTACTATCATCTTGTCGGTATTCGTTGTCATTAACCAATAACACACGCATACACAGAGATTCTTAAAGTTGAACGGCACGCAGTCAGTAGACAGCAGATTGTATGCATTCGTCGTACATGCGAATATTGAGAATGCAACGAATTATAAATTTTAAACGACATATATTTTTTGTTTGCAATTCAACCGAAGTCACCGAACCCGCGACAACGATTGTCCTCAGATTTCATGTGTCGATAAAAAAAGAACGCACCATTACGGTATTCATAAGAAGTCGCAAATGAATAACGATCTGCTGTCTAACCAATTAGTTACTTGTAAGACACTACGGACAACAAATCCCGCGGTACCTCGTTCAACGATTCAACTTACGTTAGAGACTAGGCGAATTATGAGAGTATTCAATTATCGTGTAATTCTAAGAAAGATGCCGCTTCCGCGCATGCGTCACTTAAATAGAAATTCTATTTTGTCATTACGATTATAATTAGCTTCAGCTAATGGTTTTCTTCGACTTGTTTCTCAGCGATTATATGTAAACTCTGGAGAATAACTGAAAATTTCCACTGGCCATTTAAGAATGGGAACTTTTATGAGTCGTACAGTAGAACCTCGATTATTGTGAAGAGTTGGAGACAAAATGCGCTCAATTATTGAGGTAGATGCTGTGTTAAAATCATCTTCATCTTCTTTACTGCTGTTCGTGAACCTCGGTTCTTTACTCAAAAGAGAAAAATGAACTATGATCGTGTGGGAAACTATTTCGTACACTTCTTCTGCCAAACAATTGACTAGAGTGGGAATGAAAAACTTCTCTATCAAGATCGAGCATCAATTAATGAGATTATTCTCAGTTGATCAACTATCGATCTCCCCCCTGATGTGTTTCAGTTGATAATACCACATTGTATAGTGATGCTCGCATTTTCGCACACTTAAGCAACTGTTACCGTCCCTATCAATTCTTGGAAGTGATTTCCAAAGAACTCTGATCGCGATGTATAAACATGTTTGTTTTGAAAACTCACGTAGTCGGGTCTGTGTCCTCTTGTGTCGAGTATCAGTACTTTACTCACGTTCATTGTTTCTACTTATTCGGATAAGCATCCTGATATGGACGTTCGAACGAACACCTACTAAATAGTGCATAACTACGTTGGGTATATATGTTATATTTACAACGTATAAGAAATCTCAAAGAGATATGTAGAATACAAAGTTCAAATGAAATTTAGTAATGTTTTAGTTAGTGTTTATTTTCCAGATGAATCACCCTACCGGATTTATCATTGTACGTGATAAATCATTGTACTGACGAATCATTGTAGTCACACATGTAAAAAAAATGACCGTTAAAAATAACATCAAACTTTAATTGTCACGTTCCACTTGGATCGCAAGCAAAGGAAAAATCATACAAAATTTCACTGAAACGATTGATTCGTCGCTCCTCCTAGAGCGACTCTACTAGATTATAAACCGATAAATGAACCATCGGTTGTTCAAATAGCTTCGTCCGCAATCCGTGACGCATTGTCGTCAGTCTATAAAGCAGAGTAAATATTCTCTAGCTGTGATACGGAAACAAAAGAAAATCAACTGAATGAAGACACTCTAACAAGTTGCTACATAAACTATTTCATGGCGAATGCGATGAACACGGCTCGCGCTCAAGTACACCGAGGTTTTACTGTACCCTCGAGAATGGAAGCGGCAGTCATTGAAGAGACGTTTTCGTGTTTGTGTTTATCAGCGAGTTCTACTTTCCTAAATGAACACACGCCGTGGCGCTAGCCCTGCTGCGATAACTCGATCTCCTCGGGTAGCACGTCTTCGCATTCCTCGTCTTCGTAGGCCGCCCAGGATTTTGGAAAGATGATTCCGCACGGTTTCTTTCTTGCCAGCAGCTTCCTGACGCGTTTCCGTGTCGCCACCAGCAACAGGAATATTATGAGCCCTTGTAACGCATTCAGAATGTCCGTGGGAATCCTGAATGGAAATCGAGGCACAACGTAAACAATCTGTCGAAACGTTCGACCAGCTATGATTCGCGAGACAATGGTTCGACACGTTTTTATGATCGCGGTTCGAGAAGCAGAATTAAGCGGTTTTCAGTAATTAAGATAGACGATTGTTTTACAGCATTGTGCTCACGCAAATTTCCGCGATGGCAGTGAACAGAAAGTTATTTTCGGTTCGTTCAATGTTTACAATCAGCCGCCCGGCTCGTTAACGTGTTTATCAATTATCGAACTTCTACGCACATTACGTACGGTAGGTTAAATGCGACGGAACCGCGTGCAAAGAGAAAGGAATTTCAGCGAGCACGATTTAAGTTGAAGGAAAAATGTAAATACCAGATGGTGTTTTTGGATCCCTCGGCATAGGATACCACCTCGAAGATCCACGTGATGCCCATCACGAGGATCAGCTTGATGTAGAGCATGCATTTGAAACGGAGTACCCGCAACTTGTTTCCGTTGTAATCGCAATATTGATGCCATAGCCGCCAGCCGGTCAGTCCCAGATATATCATGTTCAGCGTGAGTAGGATCCCGATGGGCCCGTAAAAGTACGCCCACATTTGCTCGGTGCCTGGAACATTGTACACCGATATTACAATCTACTATCGTTGAATTGAAATCCACCCGTTCATTCACTTTACACGTCGATCACAGCTACGGGACAGAAGTTGCCTGTATTCATACATTTTATCTTCCAGCACGGTACACTCTGTTCATCTTTTATTCACTGACAATTCTATCTAGATCACATATCAATGTGTCTACAATGGCCTAAGAAAAGTGTTTATACACCTTTTAAAACGTAATAACTTTTTTAAAATTTAACTAAATGACTTGAATTTTTATTTAGACGACAGAAGGACTAGTTTACTAGACGATGACTGGAATACTTTTTTTTTTTAATTTTGCTATTACTTGAAATGACAAAACAAAAACAGAAATCTCTCGTTTTTTTAACTTTTTTTATCTGAGCCTATAACGAAAATTTAAAAAATGTCTTTCGTAGATCTCGATAACTTACATGCATGATGATAATTTGATCGAAATCAGTTCAGAAACGTTGTTATGAGTTATTTAACAAATTAAAGATCGCAAAAATCACAGTTTTATCACGATTTTGACCAAAAACTGTAAGAAATCTGCAGTTTTTAAAATCCTTCAGCTTGTAGCTGGACTCTGGATTAACCGATTTCAATCGAATTTTCAGCACGCATACAAGTTACCGACGTCTACAAAAGGCATTTTTTTTTAAATTTTCGTTATAGTCTCGGATAAAAAAGTTAAAAATGAGGGTTTTTAATTTTTTCTTTTCATTCCAAGTAATGGCTAAATTAAAGAAAAAACTCTTTAGCCACCGCATAGTAGATTAGTCCCGCTATCATCTAAAAAGAAATTCAAGTCACTTAGTCCAGTTTTAAAAAAGTTATTGCGGTTTAAAAGGTGTACGAACACTTTTGCGGGACACTGTGTATAACGCGACAGAGGAAGCACGAGAATAAAATGAAATCGTTAATCTTACCGCTGAACCAACAGCTTCGCTCGCCAAAGCCTGGTTTCAGGTGCTTTCCCTCCAAGTGTTGGGTAGTTAGAGTTGCCACTAGAAAACAGAGAGGTCCGCCCCATCCGTAGATGCAGTACATCGTGAACAACGGTTTGTCTCTAATCGTGAAATTTTTGAACCTGCGGAAACCGGATCGTATAGAATTCCATTAGAAAAATTCTTCTTAATCTTGGTCGCATTCACTTTCACTAATCCGAGGCTTTTGTTTACCACAATTTCACTTACCAGACTGTTCTCCATATGTTGAACGCCACGACGTTCAGCCAGAAGAAAACGGATACGAACGAGAAGTACAACATGAATCCTGAGAAAGGAGAATAAAATTGTTGAACCAAATGAAAATGGCGCCGCGTTGTAGAAAAGCAGATGCTGGTTGGTTTACAAAATCTATACGTCAGCTTTCAAGATTTACTGAATGAATTTTTCGTACCTAAAGAAATGCATATTCCATGATCGCCATCCTCCTGCGGTCTCAGGTTTTGAACAGATAGCACAATATAGCCTACTGCCAAGGATGTGACTACGGCCATCATAGCTTTGTCTTGTATCTCCCTTAATTCCGGAAGCAGAACGTACACGGCCAATGTCGCGATAAGAAACACCGCCGATATCACACCCAGAATGCAAAATAGTGTCTCTCGCCATATCGTCGTATGTTCGGTGGAATATTCACCTTCGAAGCACACTAAAGCGCCGTGGGAACCATTTTCCCGGTCCACTATGCAAAACCTGAACATGGAGCAGGATTGATTAGGTTTGTCATTGATGCGCGGAAATCTTTCATTCTTAGTCATCTTGCCAGCGTCGTTTCCGAAATATTGATAGATAAAATGTTTCGGATCGATCAATGTCCGTAATTTCGTCAGAATGTGTTCGGTGCGGCGCGGTGCGACGCTCGCTTATGTCGTAATCAGTATAGTATTCGAATTAAGCTCTTCTAAGAAACGAAGATTTTCAACATTTTATGGGTATCAATTAATTTATCGATTGACATTCTCGACTGATTTATATTCTTCTTTCGGAAAGCGGAGAAATGAAAAAGGTCTATGGAAAATTGGCGAACATATATTTAAACGAACAAAGTTTTGTATTTCATTGATTATCGTAATAACAAATTTAATTATGTCTGTTTACCCTTCTTAACCCTTTGCATTCGAGACTATTTTTATTCCAAAATGGAGACATTTGTTTCAACCTATAGTATTTTCATCTGATACGACTGTTTTTATTTGATACATATGAAATTGAACGCGTATACTTATAGAAAATTTCTCTATTATATGACAATTCATCAAATACAGGCAAATTTAATGATGTGAAAATTCTTTTGAAAATAGTGTAGCAATTTCTCGAGTGTGCAAAGAATTAATAGCACTGCATTAAATTTCGTGTTTTTCGATTTCTGATTTGTTAGTTTGCTCAGGAAAACAAATCTAAGAATATATATCACCGTTTTTCAGGATCTATGCAGTTTTGAGCTAACAAGTCAAACAATGTCCGTGAAATGTCTACTTAAATATTTATAATTAACTGTAAACAATTTCTAAATGGATGAACGAAATTACTTCTCGAGATCGTAGACAGAGAAATAATCAATAGTTATTTAAATGAACGAAACAAGTTTATGTAGCTTTCGTCTGTTGATACTTAAGAATGGGAATCGGATGAGCTACTGTCGAGGAATAAATTTGAATAATCAGTATCCTAAATACTGAAAAAAGTATAAAAGTGGTTAAAAATAATCATGACGCAATTAATTCCCGCGTAGGTAACATTCTCCATGATCGAAAACTAAATACTAATTTTTCCCACCTTTCGCCACTATCTCGTACCATGAAAGAGTTTCGTGATGCAAGAAGGTTTTCCCAACAACGTAAACACCGATATATGAGCCGTTTATTTTGAAAGTGGCATAAGTCACTTTACCGTAATGAAAAGTGGTGATTTTTTAATGTTTATACGAAATTATTTATACTGAGAAAAATATCAGTATCCTGAGATAACAAATACAAGTAAATCTTCTCGAAAATTAGCATCCATATTTTTAAACGTGTTAAAACGCAAACCCTTAAATATATCCACTTAAAAACAAAGTGACTTATGCCACTTTCAAAATAAACGGCTCATATTCAAGTCCATTGCCGACATAAATGATGTTTTCGATGTTACAGCTTTCGATATAAGCGTTCCCTGCCCATTGATAAGAGGATACGGGATACTCTGTTTTGTAATCGGATCTTTGACATGATTCACAATTGTTAAGGTATTTAGCAATCTTCTCGTGGTTGAACTGAACGAAATTGATCATTTACCCGTTTGAAGCGATCTTATGCGAAAAGAATTCGTTGAACAGAAGCCAGGTCTCGCCGTTTTCTTCGATCACAGTGAAATTGTCTGCGACGGATGTGTTCGGATCAATCAAGTAACTACCGATCGGACATGTGAGCTCAACTTTCTTGCCATCGGAACAGTTCATCGTGTGGGGGATCCATTTGGAACCCTTTGTACAACAGTTCACGTCTACTCCATGACACGTCGTAACCGTCCATGCTAGCAGACAGATCCATAGCAGACCTGAAAGGGTGTCTTTTAAATCACAATAATCGGACGAGCTGGATTAAGTGCATTGATCTAGATTCAGTCGGACCAGCATTACGCTAGATTTCTTCTAGATCTGAATTAAAATCTATTTCCGAGTTTTTCGTAAATCTTACCAATAGAACTTTCTTCGAATGAATTATAGATATCAGCGGATTATGTCTAGTTTTAGTTTGTCGTATACTTAATGTATGGCAGAAGCTTTCTATAGTGTCCCAAAAATGTTTCCCATTCCAGAAATGGGGGTTCCTGAGGTCATTTGAAGTAACTTTTTCCTTAGCGAGAATGCAATTCACGGCTTCGTTTATGAGTTATTAACGAAAAACATTGGCCAATGAATGGCGAGCTCGGTTGGCGCGAGGCGGCCCAATCAACGAGCGCAGGAAGCCCAGTTCCGCTCATTGGTTCGGCTGCCTAGCGCCAAGCGAGCTCGCCCCTCATTGGTCATTGTTTTTCGTCAATAACTCGTAAACGAAACCGCGGATTGCATTTTTGCTAACAGAAAAGTTACTTAAAATCACCTCAGGAACCACTCATTTCCCGAAAATACCATAATTTTGGAACACGCTGTATAAGCAAGTTGTATTTTCACGTTGTTATAGATTCAATATATGAGAGCAAGTTTTATTTTGAAGTGCACACCTGATTTTGATATCTTTGGTAAACAATCACAACAGTTTCAATAGAAACTCCTTTTACACCTGCAAGTATTGCCCGAGGATCACCTGATCTCCTGAGAATACCGATTTCCAGTTTGTTATCGGCAGATGATATTGAAATATGCAATACCGGTACTGAGAAAATCGTTGAGTAATTTTCGATAAGCCATTTTTTTTTCGACGTCATGGGCGATAAATGGGTGCATTCTCTGTGTAATGTATATGGGCTTAATGACTAGCAATTTAATCCGTTGCTCTTTAGATAGTGAACACTCAGATAGATTGCAATAAATTGCATCTTAGGGTGGTTAATAAAGCGGTCCGTGTTGTTGCAATTTTTGTGTGCAGCAATACGCAAGGCGAATCGTAGAAATGAAATCACTTCGATTGCTGTGCAAATCGTGATTTTCGTGGAAAATATTTCTGATTATAGTTGATTGACGCGGACGACTATAGAAAAAGCTATTAGCGTATTCATATAACCCATTAGTTTAGGAAATATTTTAACAATGATTAGAACAAGATCACGAAGTGATTCACCCAATTTGTTCATATCACGTTTTCAAACAGATGCTGAACTAATTTTGTTTTATATCAAAAATTATAGATACCAATAAAACAAATTCGTTAATGTTCCTTACAACGGTGGTTAAGAAATTAAATTAAACTTACATTGGTTAAGAAATTTTTAGAAGAATATTGTCAATTGATGCATTGAAAACCTGGTTTATAGTGGTTAAATTAAAAAAGAAAAAAGAAAAAGGAACAAGACTTCCAATGTTTTTCTTAATAAATGGGTAATACAGATGATAAAATCCATTCCGGATTTGCTTCATACATGATTAAGTATGTTCGAGATCGAGAATCAATACCAATGACGAACGTTACGAGTTTTTCAGTTAGATACATCATCAAATTTGATGAAATATTGAATTTCTTACTGGCACTTCTCTGATTCACCACACATCCGCAGAATTATGCAATGCTTGCCTGAATATGAAAGTCAGCGGAAGCCGCGTGAATGGTATCAGTAAGTGTTAAAACACTTTCATTATCCTAACGACAAAAACAGATATCCGCGTCCCGATTCCCCGTAGATGGCGAACTCGAGGAACGAGTCTTGTGGTTTTTATTAAACATCGAAAGTTAATTGAAGAAACGATTTCGAATTCAATCGAAACGGAATGAAAACCAGCATTCGAATGGTGCCGAGAACATAGAATGAAAATTATTAATAGTAACTCTTTAACTCGTCGCTCATCCCATAAGCTCGATATCGATAGCGAGAAGAATAAGATCTTTTATATTTAATGATCGCGTGATTAAAGTATCATCCCAATGTGGCGATGTAATAAAACTTGAAGGCGATGAATAGCTATAGTTTAAGGAGATTCATTGCTCTCGGATCTCTTGACTGCGTGTAGTGGTTGAAATGAAGTGGCGATTTCCAAGGTCGATCGGACAAAATGAAAATAAACAGATATCTATGAAAAGAAAATGAGCGCGGAAAGATTAACGATTTGCACGATAAGATAAAAATTATTGCATTGACTTGATGGCCTCATTGAATCGGTACATTCAGTCAACGAACGAGATTCCATGGCAAAGAAACACACAATTCTCCACGTTCGATCGTAACCCAGTTTAAAGTCGACCGTGCTTCGCGCGGTTATGGCTCAAAAGAAGAAAGGGATGTTTCTGTTAACGAAACTGCTCTTTATGCTCCTCTATGCACTCCATTGGCGGCGCATGCACCAGCAGCTTTATTCGATTTAGCCACGTGCACTTGCCCGCTCTTTTATTCAATTCCTTTTTTCCCAGAGTAATGATCCAATTCGTTTAATTAGACGCATTATAATTGAGCATTGTTTTCGATGCCATTAGACGAGAACATGGTTCGTAATAACTACACAGAACAATTAAACTATCTATATTATACATCGCATCGCAACAGAATATTGTGACCTACTTTTGTGTAATTTAATTTAATTCACCCACTGAACACATTTGCGAGATTTTAAAATTAATTTTATAATTACACAATATATACAATATATATGTACAAATTACAATATATTATTACTATATATATATATACTTTATTTATTTATTTATTTATTTATTTGTGCAACAAGCAAGGAAACATTAAAGAAAGAAAAATGGTTGTTGGTGAAACAAACAATATATTTTAATTATTGAGCCCAAAAGTCGGAACGATAACATTAGAAATGATTAAGCTTTTTAATTAAATCTCAGATCATCCCGTTGATAGCAATGTAACAAATATAAATGTGCAAATCACGATGGATCAAAAATACCTCGCCGACAAATAAACTCTTATTTCGTGCAGCGAATACGTTTGAGCATTCCATCCAGTCATAACATTGTTCCTTATCATTCACAATGACGCTCATTCTAGCCGTATCATTTTTTTTTTTCAATGAATGACAATCTGCTTAGACAGATGCGGCGATTTATCATTTCCCGAGGTCCAAGAAAACAGAAGGAAAACAGATTTAATGATTCAAGAAATTCGCCACGCTTTATGCGTAATCAACTGTGATAGTGTTGTTTTCTTCACGTATAGTTTTATCTTAATGTTTGCGGCGTTCTGTTCCGCACGCTCTTTCGACTATCAACTAAGTCAATGATAAGTGAAAAACGACATCGATTTGCGAATACGTTTTCTTTCTCAAAGCATCTTGTGATGCAATTCGTATTTCGATACGAACAATCTTTGCGTCGAAAGGCAAGAAGCGCGCTGTTATACGTATTCGTAACGGTAGCCATAAAATATTTTAGAGCTCGCGTCCAAAAGTATAACGATTTTTCGATTGTTAGTCAATCGGAGAGAGTTCGATAAAAACGTTTGTCCAACATTTCTTATAGACATATTTGTCACCTGTTACAGATGAATCGAAACGACCAGTTTCACTATTGTTTTACAATTATTGACACATGAAGGTGTTTTTGTGGAAAATTATCAAATGAACGTTCATCTTCGTCTAAACAATGGTAGATATACTGTTGTTAGTTCCATAACAAATTTTAGATGCTTCCGAATGAAAACGAAATCCTTTGAAACTTTATTATGGTCCTTTTGAGCTATAAATAAAAATTTTTAAAACCTAAAAAAGAAAACTTCCGTTTATAGTTACATTTTCTAATACTGAATAGTCCCGATTTACAATAATTAGTCAATAATTGCGTAAATAATGAGCAAGAATTAATGTAACTATCAGACTGCTATTTAAATTAATATCATTCGACATGGTTGAAGATCGTCTAATATTATATTACTAGATTGACTCAGTAACAAAACGATTGTGGTACTAGAATACAGTATAGAGTAAGTTTAGGAAAATAATGTGTTAAGTTAACAATTTGATGATTTGTACGTAAAACAGCAGCCCAATAAAATTCACTGGTCCAGTATATACAAACGCGCACCGGTGATGTTTTACGTACCTTTGGCTGGCAACGTGTCCGGGTGCTTATTGTAGCTTGCGTCCAACATTATCCCTTGTTTTTCGTTACCGCATTTCTTTTTTCTTCAAAACTGGTTCTCCCGCGAATATAACCGCGGAGGTTCTGGTCACTTTTTGCGACTCACCTTCCTCGATCAAAACACTACGGTTTCGATCGAGTGTTTACACTCGACTCAAACGATTCTATGAAAACACGGCTCGGTGCCTATCATCTATCGGATCGAATTGGCTGAGACGTTGAGATTCGTTCGATTGTTTCCGGCAATTTTTAACAGAAATTTAGAAAGAGTTTTAAGTACCTTTGAGTTGCAATCAAAACATTAGGAGATAGTATAAATTGGAAATAATCGGAACTGGTTGTCGTTGATGAACGCGAACGAAAATGACGGTGACAGGTTCGATCACTTAGAGGAAAACTAAATGAAAAGGTGGCAGGTTCGCGGAGATTTCAACGACGGCGCGAGCAACGACAAACGTTGGCACAAGTAGACACAGTTGAACTGCGCGTGGAACTGAAACAAACCTGGATGAAGCTTCGACGAGCTGCCAACTCGGAGATAGCAAGGCACAGTCCTCTCCCACTGTCGCATTTCTGGCTCATGGTTCACTACGCTACCAATACTCGACGGACTTCGACGCGGAGCCAGTTCGAGCGCTGCTTCGAAGATGTACAGTGAGCTGAAAATCCGTTTACCGTGGCCAAAATTTAACTTTTGGAGTTTTGCATTCTCGAGAAAATTTGTTTTACCTTAATTCATTCACGTTTAAAAATCTAAAATATTAGCCACTTTAAATAATTATGTGTGCGAAGATGTCACGCTGAAAATAAAATTCAGAAATTCAAAATTAAACAAATTTGTTTTGAGTACTCGTTATAGAATATGAAAATATACAGCATTATAGGCGTATTTTAATTATTTTATTAGTTTCTAAGAATTATTTGATTCGTGTACAAATCCCGCAATATTTGTAACAATTCAAACTTTGAAAAGAGCTTTAAACCGGAACAAGATTTGACTATTTTGTTATCAAAATCTAGAAATGTAAGTAAATGTGTAAGTAAATAATGACAAGGATAATGTAGATGTAGAAAAATTAAAACGCGAAGAAGACGTTCAATTTGTTTCAAATTTTCAATTTCTCTCTCTCTCTCTCTTTCTCTCTCTCTCTCTCTTTCTCTCTCTCTCTCTCTCTCTCTCTCTCTCTCTCTCTCTCTCTCTCTCTCTCTCTCT